AGACAATTTTTTTTTTTTCAAATTTGCATGCACAAAAAATGTACACATAATCTAACTCATTCTCTTTTCTGTTCGTACATTTATCGACATTATTGAAAAAATTAGAACATATTTATTCCAGGAAATTATATTTCGTGCTCCCTCTGCTTCCTTTCCTTGTTTTTTTTTTCCAAAATTTTCTCCCTCAAGGAAGGCGTCGGCGTATCTGCCATACGCGGATAGGTACCTGCCCGAGGGATGCAGGGAGATAAGAAGAGGGTCTAGAAAGAACGTCCAATGACTGAACCATGATCAAAGATAATTTCCGATCAAAGATTAAGGATTACTCCCGTGAGCCATGCGGCCCGTCTAGGAATCAAAGTCTGCCGAAATATAAAATGCATGAAGCGAGAATCCCAGGGGTGCACAGCACACGAAGCTTTCCCCCACCTTCTCCCTCTGCCTCCCCCCCTCTCTCGCTCTCTCTATCTCTCTTTGTATGTATTTGTACGTGTATACGAATGTGTATACGTTCAGAACAACTTCCAGTCCACCCACTTTACCCTACTTAAAGGCAGATGACGCACGATCGCCGCATACGCACATACAGACTTGTACCTTGTGCATATTATATCACACGATATCGTAACAATAAAATAGTAAAAGATGAAATATATATGAAAATACTACGAACGATGTTTCCTGTGTTACGCACTACCAAAAAGATACTTGTAAGAATATCGTATGTCTTCCTGTACTCCCTTTTGCGCATGGATTCCCGGATTCAATTTAATAATAATAAAGTTTTTAGCAAGGTATCAGATTGCAAACGTAATTCTTAAACTGTAAACAATTAAGGAAGCCTACCTCTAGATATAAAAAGAATAAATTGTAAATAAATAACAAAATCTTACTCATCTTCAAGTAGACTTGAATTTAAATAAATTGTCATATGTAAATAGAAATGTTAATAGAAATATAGTTTTAGAATATATAATTATACATACACGTTAAGGGGCATAATATAAAAAAGATATTTTGGAATTGAATGTCCGTTAATTCATAAACGTACCGAATCTCTAAACGATTCCCAAAGAGTAGTTTTATTTTCTTTGTTAAACGTACCATAACCATGATTATCTACGCTGTATGAGGGGATGAGCGCCTCTTACGGAGCCGAACAATTGGCCAAAATATATGAAAATCTTTCGTATTTTCGGCACGTATAGCACAGTCCTCGCGCTCCGTTCGGACATTAGATATTAGATTTAGCACCCTTACAACTGTCACCGTACATAATTAGGGGTGGCTTCCCCTATCGAAACAGATGGCAACCCTTAGGCTACGAGATAATTTCGCGGAGAACAGTTGGGAAAGCGGCATAGCCCCTGGTGCAGAAGAGACCAACGACATTGGCGAAACGAAAGAAAGAGAGAAAGGGAAGGGACAGACAAATGCTGGTTAAGAATAGACGACTCCGCACATCGACACCGATAAGAAGGGCAAACAGACACGCGTGCAAGAAGGGGCGAATATGCGATTCGACAATCGTTACCAAATTTCTTCAATAATTTCATTGAAATTAGACAAGCGCGGCAGCGGAATGGAATACCGGGCTCGTACACCAAGTATGTATTAAACGTAACGACGGCGAGGCAATCGGCAGTAACCGGACTAAAGTGGTTTTATTCGTCGTTCAGTGCGATCAGATATGGAGACAATGAGAGGACCCTCCATATTCCCGATCGTGGACCCCGGCATCTATCTGTCTCTATCCGCCGCGAGACTACGCCACCTAAGAGATTGCACTCGAGGGCAGTAACATGCGAATTGAATGACCACCGTATAAAATTCGCATCCACCGCGACTGCCACCGGAAGGCGGGATGGCGGGAGGGTGGGATGATAATGGCCACTCGCCATCCCGATTTCAAGACCGCAATCTGTGCGTTCGTAAAGACAATTGGATTTGGAAATCACGCCATCCCCCTCCCCCTCAGGCTTAACGCATCCACATTGTTTTAATAAATTCGATTGATGGCCAGCCGATCGTGCAATTCTTTTCAAAAATTTTTTGGAGATTCTCACGAAAATCTGTTAGTCTTTTTTTACTTTTTAAATTTTATGATATTCTAGTCTTCACACGTATTGTACAACATGCAATTGGTCTTTTATGAGTTTCTCAAAATGAGTTTACATAACAAATATTTAATTAATATTTTATTAAATGTACAATTCTCAGTTGTAAAATCTAGCAAAATTTTAGTTATTTTCGTTAAAATTAATTTGTTGCATTTATTACTATTGCATAAAACATATTGTAATATTTTTCGCGTAACATCCAGAATAATATCAAAACATTTAATATTTGAACATTTGTTATGTAAAGTCCACTTTAAACGATTTCAGAGTAGAATAGTATTTACAATTCGATACATCGTGTATTTTGATGTGTCTATTTTAATGTATGCTTTAAATGTGTATGCATTCCGACTCTTTTTAAATGTTTTATTTTACATCCTGACGTGAGTTATGAATCATCTAAAATAGGAAGTTTCACGTAATATATTTATAACATAACTCACATGCACATAACAATAGCTAATAAATTACTTATATGAATTCTTATAAAGAAGCGAAATATATAAGGGAAGAAAAGCGCGTGTGTACTACGATGAGGCGCGTACTACGATGTAAACGACACCAGGCACGGAGAGAAGCATTAATTTGCATCTGCTTTCGTCCTCTACCACTTCCGAAAATTTTATTCGCTCGCTGTGTTTAATTGTGGTATACGCGAAATAATAAAGTGGAAGTAAAAGGCGGGTGTGTGCGGAAAGAAAAGTGTGCCGGCCGCGGGAGCTTAATACCCGTGTAAGTAGTAGCCACTGCATTACAGTCAGATTCATTTGCATGCACTTTTACATCCTTCCGTCCTCAAAAAATATTTATCGCCCGAGGTTTCACCGTGACGCCTCGCTTATGAATTATGCATGTGAAGCACGCGCGCAGGACGTAGCTCATTCCTAGCGCAATTTCGCCATTGAAGCGTAATTTCAGCAAGCTCGGGTATTAGAGCCCCTCGAGCAGCTTTTTCGTGATAGTGCTTACGAGGGAGAACGAAAAGACGTGTCATTCGGAACGACGATGATCACCTCAATTGCGTCGGAAAGAAGAGCGCCGGCGTGCGTATTAACTTTATGCTACGCCCCATGTATGAATATGAATTTTATTTCATACGTAACGCCACGAAATACACTTTCCTTCACCATCAATTAACCATGCGATCGATGTTGCGTTGCGGGTATTTACGCATAATTATTTGAATTTTAAAAATTGTATAATCAAAACGTATTTCTTTAGACTTAAAGTAAATGGTATCTATACACATTAAAAAATAATAATAATTTATTTCTAACAAAAATATTAAAATAATATATGATTATTTTATATATAGGTAATCGTATATTATTTTAATATTTTTATTACTTTTTATACATATAGGTATATGATGTATGTATATGTACGTATATATGGAGTGTATCTTAAATAGTGCCCATTAATTCAAGCGTTGTTTTTTGTTAAAAAACCGAGTTGAAAAGTCACAATGAAATATTCACTACTGCAGTAAATTAACTTCATTAAGCATTATAAAAAATATATATATTTCAGAATTTTTTAAATCAATTGTTTATAAGGAGTAGCGCAATATGATTAATGAATGTTATTTAAGAATAATTTTGTCCTATAATGCTCAATGAAGCAGTAATTACTACGGTAGTGATCGCGTCATTGTAGAAAAAAAAATGATTTAGGACTTTTTATATCAATTTTTTACAAGGGATAACACTATATAATTAATGGGTGCTATTTAAGGTACATCCTATATATGATATGGATATAATACATAGATAAATGTTATATCGTACATGAAATTTTTCTGAACCTTTTTGTTTTCAATTTTAATGGGGAGAATAATTCTAAAAATACGTACAATTTTTCTTCCTTCCTAAAGGAGCAATCTCTAAAATTATATTTTGCTCACTAATCACTTAGTGCAAATTGACAATTCATTTTCATCGTATGTAACGTTGCAAAGCTACAATATATATCGGGACATTGTATACCACTGTCAGCACCAGATTTAACGTGACCAAAATTAAATCCGAGATTACTGATCGAATAGTACGGGTTTAAGTCACCATACAAACAAACATGGGAGACACCAGCGGGGGATATGTGGTGGATAGTTTATATTTAGTTTGTGTCACAAACTTTTGCAATGTATGCTAATCGACTACAAAACTGAAACTATATAATTAATAGCGGAATCAAACAGTTATAATCGTTATAACGCTATATATTGATATAATTAATATATAAATATTAATATAAATACACACACCATTAGATAATTATGAATAATTAGGTACCGATCTCTCAACAAAGTCATCTATTACCTCTATCTATTATAAATCAAATTTAAAACGCCAATTTATAGCACACCGATATTTATGTATAGATGTATAATATATGTAAATTATTTCGAATAATATTTCTCAACTGATAAACAAGTTTTATTCTCAATTGGCAAGCTATAAATTTTGACAGTATATTTTTTATAAAAATGAATTAAGGAAAATTAAAATACTATATCTTTCTAAGGTAAAGCTACAAATACCAAATTAAATAAACTTTCTACGCAACGAGCAGTCATTTTTATTTAATATTGCATGCAGAATATATAAATGTAGCATTATATAACTTGTTAATAAATACAAATGTTTATTTGAATTTTTTTAGAAATTTGTGTTTGATATTTCATGAAATCTTTTTAGAAACCGTATTGCATATACAGATGCTTTAATAAATTGTTGGTCTCAATGGTCATACAATGTGTGAATGAAACAGATTTATCGATAAACATATAATAATATTTAACATTTATAAACAGTAATAATTTGGCTAAACCAAAATCAACAATTATTATCGTGTATCGCGGTAAGACAAATTTAACATTACCAGTGGTAAACGCTGCGAATGTCGCCCGACCATTCTGCAGTAGAAGGCAAGCGAAAACAAAGACCGCCACCATCCTCGGTAGGAAATTAACAGTCATCCCCTTCCCCCTTCCAGCATGTAGCTGCATCACCGGTATCCGATTAACAAATTCGATGTCACGAGTATAAGATCCGCATTCGCATTCTATCGGTTCACCAGTCAAGTCTCTCCAGTCACTGCCAATTACCCCGAGACGACACTCGTTCCGTCCCACGGGAGTCCAGCGAGGACAGGCGTTAAAGCACTTCTCACGTTGATCCGGGGGATCCTCAGTGCGATTTTTCATCAAGAGGGCTTAGTACTCTGAGGCTAGGTCAGAATTTTGTAAAAGATTATATCACCGCGATGCATCCTCGACGGCGTGTCTCAAGTCGAGGGATCCGTAATGTCACTTCTTCGAGTCAACAAACGTGGTCAACAAGCGTCTATTATCGATTATTTTTTAGAAGAAATAGGGAGGATACACACCGTATTTCTTATTTCCCCGCGATAAACTCGCGAGATTTTCCACGAGTGATTTATTCGCGCGATATCTCGTACTCGGCGAGCTGTCGTCGCTTGTCAGTTATACGCGAAGACCCGGTGTTCGACCTGGGGCGCGATACGAGGGACAGCTCCCAGCAACTGCGCGCTTGGGACGCCCGGCGTCGACTGGCGTTCATAGAGGTACCAGTAGAACCGGTCGGCGGCACACGCCGCCGTCCCGGCGTCACGGCGCAGATCTCTGCCACCCCCGTACAAGACCTCTCACCCTTTCCTGAACCAGGCCAATCGGCGCTTGCGAGTCACCGCCCATCGCGTTGCGAGGGCGGCACCGCGCCCGAATTAAGATTTTCGACTTTTCTTAGTCGGGTCTACTCCCGCCAGCTATCTGTCTATTCTCCTTTTGCCCTCTCTTGCACCATGTTCTCTCGGCACCACGCATTGTCCCCTCATTTGAGAGAACCTGTCCCCTCTTCGTTCCTTTCTTCCTTTTCTTCTTCAGAACATTGTCGCACACGAGTCGCGACACCCGATGGGTTAACCCCCCCCGAAGAAAACCACACACAAGCCGTGGATAATTTGCATGGGACAATAATTCAAACGTCCGTTGTTGCACGTCAAATTTTGTCTGAGGTTCACGGTGTTGACTTTTTTTTTCCTACCTTGGTGAAACGTGACAGAATTAGTGTTAGCTCAGTCTTCGGTTGGTTGAAACGTCATTTGAACATTTTATTCCTGCTTCGCAAGAGATAGTAATTCTATTACATTTTTATATGTTATTGCTTGTAATGGGATTATAATTTACTCTCTGCGCGCGTCTACCATGAATAAATGTAACATTCATGATCGAAATCGTTTTGCCAATCCCGATTCAGATAAAATTGAAAACAGCGCTCGTGAAATATTGGTATGTTACCTTATTAACGTTAGTGGATAAATAAATATGCCATGAAAAGGCGCGATCACACACACATACACGTACAGAGACACACAAACACATGTACGACGCAACATAAATCGAAAGCAACATATATTATCATCAAAAAGTCACTATTCTGCATGTTATATTATAATATTTTATAGACATGCATATACATTCGCGAAAGTATGTAACGGATATTAATTTTATATTGCATCGCGTACATAAAAGAAATTTTAATTACTCGCGCAAGTTCATTGTACAAATAAACGATAATTAATAAAAGTAATTTTCACAACCTAAGTAAATGCTTGGTAAACAACTGACTATGTAAATGTCATAAAAAAAAATATTGAGTCTTAATGCATTGTATGCTGTTTTGTTATTTTTTTATATTTTATTTTTTTTTACCCGACTCACGATTTCTAAACATGAACTCTCGCAGGAAAGGTTTGCGCAAAATGTATGGCCCGACCTATCAAATTTCTTTTATTAAATAACAACCCTAGCGTGCAAAAACAGTATAATAGAAACATACAGTCCACGTTTACCGAAGAGCAACATCGCGGAACGAAACATACGATATACAAGACTGATGAGCACGGTTGATGGTAGAATCATGTAGGATGCGGCTGCAGCGCCATTAGAATAATATCACCCATTCTTTATCAAGAAGCAAGTCGGAGATGTGCCGTGCACTCATTTCACGTGACATTTAATTTTCGTGAAAAATCGCCGGTGAGTTTGCTCACACGAAATAGAGCGTAAAACTACCGGGATGAGTTTGGACATACTCTTCCAGATTTCGTAATCTCGCGTCACTCGAAAACGTCCGAATGCGATATCCCGCAAGCGGATAATATCCAAGAATAATATCCGCGTGAAACGTAATCACTGACACGAGGAAACTACGTTTTTTCAATGTGGATATATCCATTTTAATGAAATACGTAGTTACGCGTACGCGAAATTTCATTGATCATTCAGATTATTTTCGCGACACGAAAAATAAGACAGAATGCTGTTTGAGAATAATAAATTCAAAAATGCGGAATTGCAAGGGAGTATTTGCTAATGAAGTCGGTGAATTTTTATTCTTCGCGATGTCCAGTGTGCACACGTATGCACACGTCTCGAACAAAAATTCGTTTGGAACGTATAAAACAAACATATATGAAAGAAGTAATTTAAATTCAAATTTTACCGATGTTCATTTTAATGTAATTTTAATCTTGATGAAAGATTGGATTTGCGATGGTAACGTTGCCAAGTAATAAGAGAAAAGTGCATTTAAAAATGTTGAATTTTTATATTAATCGGATAGACAGCATCACGCATTGAATAATGGATCTTTAATCATTTCTACAATAATAATATTCGAGAAATATACATATATCAATATTATGCGGTACACAAATACATTTCGTGATGCACAAATTATATATGTATTTAAAATCTGGTTTTTACAAAATATGATTTAATTTTCGACAAGACAATATGCGAATAAAAAACGTTGCACAATAATGATGTTATTTAGCACGTTACATACATTCAATCTAATGAACACTTTAAACTTTATTTCAATAGCACAGTGTACTTTTTCCTACAAAAGAGAGAAGGCGATTATCTGAAAATTAATATATAATTCTTTATCGTTCTATTCATACGGCACTATGAGTGCAATCGCATATTATTTCCGTAAAAATTCTAAATTAAACATATTGGCAATTCAGCTTTCATAATTGTATTTTCCCTTTATATCAGCTTTATTCTTCGATTCACGTATGAACCGGTGTATGTCGTCACTTTGCTTATAATTTTCCAGTGTACAATACACATTCGATCTATGATGCATTTATATATCTGATTTCAAGCATTAGAGAATGCATCGTTTTAATCAGAGCACAGTTGCACGCGATATATTTTTATACAAAGATATAACGTGCGATTGCAAATAATATGCAGGATGTTTGCAAGATTTCAATGAAATATGGGTAGATAATATCTCTAAAATCCCAATAGTTATATAAAAAAATATTATATTCATTATTATTGTGATCACGCGGAGTTCTGGTTTGAGTTATAATATGACATCTTAGCGAATTCCTTACCAAAGTTTTAAAAAGGACTTATGTGTGGAATTTAAAATGTTACATCTTAAATCTGGAAAGACCGCTATCGACGCAAGAATGTTAGAAGACCTACAGAAATTTATCATTTTGGAAGGCATCTATTACACAAGATCTGCGTGCGCACTTTTATTGTTTTACTTATTACTTATTGTAAAATTTTATACAGATTTTAATTTACTTTAGACTTTATATGTATAACATTTCTTACTAAGATTACCGTTGAAACATTGATAATAACCCAATCGAGGTCGAAACATCTGTTTACTTTTATTAGTTGTGGACTGTTATACGTTATATACCGGAGCATTAAAACATCCAGCTTTGATTCACAGGCTTTGGTCCCTTAAATGTATTAATTCATTGGTATAAAAAAATATTTGCACAATGCAGTGAAATAATATCGTAAGCTTTATCCTTTATAATCCTATTGCTTATGTGCATGCGCGTGACTTCAAAAGCAATTGCATGTTTTTTTTTAATTAAACCATTATATTTTTTAATACGTTTATTGATACACAGTCTCACACCTTTTATCTTACATTTTCGAGATTCTGTTAACAAAATTGTTTTCAATTTTCAAAGACTTTTAAATATAAAAAGAATTTTAGAAAAAAAATGCAGCTGCAGCTCCACATCAACCCTGTGCGAATAAACGACCTTTAGGTCAGCGAATATGAAAAATGGTTGTACAAACCGCGAATATATATATAGCGGATAAAAAAAATATTTGCACACGCTATCTTTTCGGGATAATTTCGCACGTAGAAGAAATGGATACAGCGTGCTAGTTCAATTATAAATAAAAAAACAATAGTTTTATTTATATTGGTATAAAATAATAATAAATATAGTTGTTTGATTAAAATGTCTTGCAATGATATTTTTTGCATAAAATTATTCCGAAGAAGATGAGATATAAAAATCCACCAGGTTTTTCTGTCCGCTATACGAAACGCGCGAATAAAGAATGTATGATTATGGTGCTTTGCTCATACATATCAATGTATTCTTTATAATATATGAAGAATATGTCGTCATCACATGCGTCCAGATATTCGCAGAAAGTTTTCTTAATAAACAGCCACGAGAGACCCGCGTTGGAAGTTCGAGGAACCGTGAACAAATAAAAGCAGCGTAGGAGATCAAGCGGATATGCGGCGGAACGGAACGCAAACGTCTAAAAGATGGAAGACGGAAGAGAGCGAGGCTTTCATTACCTTGATGTAAGTTTTAGGCACGTCTAAGGTCTGATCCGTAGACCACCACCGAACGGGAGGAAGATAAACCAACCACGTCGTTACCAACAGCAAAAGAGACTCCATACTCCTGTCCTTCGAATTTATCCTTAAAATTTCCGCTTGCACTTCCTATCTTACATTTCCTTATCAGTGTTATTGGTTATCTCGCATCTTATTCCGCGCGAGTCGAGATTGACATCCTGATTATCGTCTGAGAAATTTTCCGTAAGAACAATTAACCGACCCTATCGGCTCGCGCGCTGGTACTTTCATCGTTAAGCGAAACTTCCGCGCTTAAACGCGAGAACCTGTGATATCTTCTGTCAGTGTTACAAGATCGTGAAGAGATCGCGCGAGACTGCACGGAAGATTTAGCTAATAATGTCTGGATAGCTGAAAAATAAACACTTAATCTCAAGTGTACAATTCTATGGAAAAATATGACAACTAATCGCAATCAAAAAGATAAGATTAGAATGTAATAATAACATAGCGATTTACTTATTTTAGAAAAAAATCCAATTTGATATTACTTTATGGAACGCTTATAAATTATATTTCGTGTTCCATCTGTCATGAAAAGCCGATGATAATTGTCTTTATACAAATGAAAATCATTGCAGACGAAAATCTACATGCTGTGGGGGAGATTTGGATATAAAATCACGGACGGCCAGGTATTGAGAGCTCGAAGAAAAAGGAAAGAATGGGAAAAAGAAAATGATGTGACAATCAGGGGCGAGTTTTTGTCCGGGACACATCTGGTCTCTTATTTTCATTTTCTCCGTCAAATGATTTCTTTCCTGCCACTAACTGAAAAACTCCGCGAACACCGTCTGCGAGTATGTCGCTTTTTTCCGAGTAACTTTCCTTATCAATTCGCAAGGTATCTATAGAGTGGCGAAGTATGTAATCCGCATGACAAAGTCTTCAATTAAGCAAAAAATTATGTAAAGATACCTTTAACATGTTATTGTTTCTATTCATTTTTGTATCTATTTTATTCTCATTGCAACCTTTTTTTATACTATACCCAGCAATTTATGTCACAAAAGTTTAAAAGAGTTGCATTTCCCGGAATATCGAACAAAATTTGTTTATTAAAATAATCATAAGAAATATTGAAATAAATTTGACGTTTTACTGTAAACTACATAATTTATAATTTTCACATTTGATGATTTATTAAATAATGTCACCTGTAATAATTTTATAACGTCCGATTAATATCCATTGAAAGTTTATTGAAAAAGCATTTAAATAACTAAATATATCAGACACACCCAAATATATTGAAGCTCACCCGAAAGACGGCATTAAATCTTAAGCTTTTATAGAACAAGTGATTCAAATGTCACGAAATATATTCATATAAACGGGGACATCCTTTCGAATACGCGCGCCCACCGCCCGTTGTGCAATTCGATCCTCCCAATCGCGACGAGATTCAACGGATCAGTCTCAATTCGCAAAACATTATTATCTTCGGTCGACCAGGCCGGTTTCCTTCTGCAAACAAAACTCCGTAAGCGATAGACAATTGCAGTTTCGAGACTCCCCGGTACTCTACAGCCAATTAAGATTCAATACAATCGATGAGGGACTATTCAAACGATGAGACAATCGGAATGTAATTGCGTCGCCCCGATCCCACTGAATACCAATTCATTTTCCGAAGCCCGCCACCGTGCACCTTCGTCCTTTCACTTCCACCTCCCGCCAGACCGCTTTTGTCTTGTGGAAATCTTCTTACCGAGTCCGCGAGCGCCAATTCTGAAAGTTTAAATTTCTTTTCCTCGCGTCTCTTCTCTGTCAAACACCTTTTCTTCCTTAAACCCCCGCGCGCTGTCTCTCTTTCTCACTCTGTCTCTCTCTTTCTCTCTGTCTCCCATCCACAGTACCACGCCCTCCTGTAGCGCGGACGAGCAGGGTGGTGAGAGGAGAACGGGGGAGGAAGGAGGAATTGTGGGTGCCCACCCTCAGGGACACGTAATTACGGCCTTATATTTCACAAATATTTCGCTAGTGTGATTAATGACGTTCCTCTCTGGCTCCGTGGTGGATAAAGTAATGTACGAAGAGCGACAAAATCGAAATCATCGTGACGGCGGCGAGTGATAATAAGAGATAAACATTATACCAGCGGGGCGAGACAGAAAGCGCTCTATTCCTAAACGAAACCGAACAATCTCATAATAATCCTCCGTAATCCCTGAAACAATCGCGTAATAATCCTATAATACTATAATCCTTCAGCAATCCCATAATAAGAATACAATGAAACGTAATAAATACGTATAATATGTATCACTGAATAAATAAGTATGCCACGTTATATCCTAAATTTTTTCTAAAGATAGTTACGCCTCGTGAACTGCAAAGCTGTCATTTATATGTTACAGGTACCTGTTAATTGGGAAACACAAACACGTCACAGATGTGCAAGACTGTTGGAAAACCAGGTGTGTCAGGTATCATCTATATATTAAAAGTATTAACATTCTAACACTAACACTCTGATCTTCGCGTTGCATTTCACGTATCGGAATTTAATCATCTTCCGAATACCAGGGGCTACGCCCGCATGCGGTGGGAATCGTGGCACGGCGGGCTAATAAAATTGCCGCGCCTCTCCGATTTTTATCTCACCTAAGACGCGAGATGTCCGCGCGCTAAAAGGCTCGATATATTTTCCGAATAACTTTAAAGCAGGGCGCGTAACGCGATCGATGCTCACGGCTGCGCGGTTTCCGTATAGACGGGGAGGAGAAGAGAGAGAGAGAGAGAGAGAGAGAGAGAGAGAGAGGGAGCGCCAACACGGGCGTATAAGGAACAAGCGCGCGATCGCTTCGATCCGGGGGCTTCGAGACGAGGTAATAAAATTGTTTGTTTTAACAGGATAAAAATGCAGGGCTCGAAAACGTGCCTTCTAAAGTGTTGACGATGAGAACGATACCTATCGTAGCGCGAGCTGGGATATGCGAGAGAACGACGTAGCCCAGAAACAGAGATAGAGCACGGCGCGGGAGGACCATTCGCCCAACACCGGCGTTTTGTTGTATCGGGGGTAGGACGGGAAAAGTCAGATCACGAATAAAACAAAACGTGACGTGGCTGAGCATCGTCAAAAATAGATGGAGAGAGAAAGAGAGAGAGGGAGGGAGGGTGGGAGAGGGTGGGGGCAGTGAGAAAAACAGGTATACCCGGCAAACGTCAAAGGAGGGGGTGCGAGGGAAAAGGGGCGCGAGGAACAAAATGTTCCTCCCGGTTTTGCAGGGACAGAGCGCGCGCGCTATCGACGCATCAACGCGTTTTGAGCTTTTGAGCTTGGAGCTTTTAAAATCTGTCACCGACACACATTAACCGTTACGCACTTCGAGCCCGGTTGCACAATGCGCGAGCGCGGGCTGCGAGTGCACTGCTTGTTTTCGAGTCGTTGTACCGAATGCAAACGAATGTATGTAGGTACGTATCGTCCACGGTTATCGACACGCGCGTTGTTCCCGTTGGACGCCCTACGTTTTCGCGGAGGTAGAGCGAATTTGTTGCGCACATGTTGCTCCTTTAAAATTGATCCGACTGCTGGCAGTCCGGGGAAAAAAAATATGGAAAACACACGAACGTATACATGACTGGCAGTTATAGAAAATAAAGAAAATTGTACACGTTTGATAATACTTGTCCTCTCTTCGAATAATGATGTTGCTCTTACTTAAGTCATCTCCTCTTGTTGAATTTCAATTGAATTCGAAATAGAAAAGCTCTCTGACAGAAGAGTTCCTTGTGCTCGAAGATACGTTCGACAAGAACTCTTCAGTGTCGGTCCGCAATGAGGATTTTATAGCCCTAAGCAGTAAGAAATAGACCAATTGTAGTCGAATATGAGAAGAATAATCGATTGTAATTGGTCAATATCTTACGGCGTAAGGCTTAAAGTTCTTATTGTGGACCGACTGTCATTCATCCGAAGTGACAACTGCACATTTCTAAAATTCTTTAATTCTTAGATCATTTTTTCTTTCAAACGTTTCAACGAAACTTTAATGAAATGCTGAAGTGAGATTTTCTGTCTTCCAAGATCGCGCGCGGCGTGTAATGAAAGTCGAGAAATGTCCCAGCAGGTATCGCCGCGTTATAATTCGCGCCGAAGTGTACGGCCACTATAGCGCTTTTTACGCGGCACGATTTATGAAGACTTCAGCACGATGGGTGGCGACTGGGCGCGCGAAGCGGCCCTCAAAATTGATTAATGAACGAGGCGGCCGATCGATTCGATTAAACCAGTGTAAACGAAAGGGGCGACCGATAAATATCTGCCGATATAAACGTCGACGTTACGTCGTGACTTTTCCATAAATCAAAACCTGGCCGCGTATGTGCCGCGTAAACGTGCCAACGTGCCCAACAATAACAATCCCTGTAGCCAGGATCGAGCACAACCGCGATAATTGACGCGTACACGTAACACAATCGTTGAAAAGAAAAAAAAAAGATCGTCGCTTGCGCATAGCGCGTTATTACGTCCTATATTATTAAGCGTCGTCTAATTAACCATAAATTACAAAGGCCGTCACTCGTCAAAAATAAAATACTTTTGGGAGAAACGCGAACGCGAAATAATTGCAGATTGGATCACTTGCATTAAATCGAGATATTTATAATTAATATCCGTCGTTAACCTTACAGTTAATTAATAATTACGTGCCGCGCGAAGAGTGAATAAAATAACGTGCGCGACAATGATTTTATGTACGATTTGTTTGAAAGTTATTGTAATTACATAAAGTCGCGCTTAAACAGTGGCATGCGGGAGAAATGTGGGTGCGATACGTGCAGTTTTCCTAACGTAAAACACCCCTCTGTCGCATACCTGGGAGATAGATGATATATATACATATGTGTGTAAGGAGTTATACATCCATTTACATATACATATACAACAGACAGATCCTACATAGAACGAATAAGTGAGTGAACAAGAGGAAGAAGGAGAAAAAGAGAGAGAGAAAGAGAGAAGATATGCGAGTATATCTGCGTAGTAAGGCTGCCACTGACAGCCCTGTCTTCACAGGCAAATTTCACTTTTTGTCAACGAACGGGTCGTTTGAAAGGAACGAATATTGGATTCGGTTATTACTTCTTCGACCTTCGTCCGATTCTATACCTCTTCTCGATCTATCTCCGCGTAACAAACTGTATACGCAAAATCGATATTCCGTTCCGCGATCGTATACGTATATACGTAAAATCATTTCCTTTATCACGAGAAATATTTATTATATAAATTTAGCACATTTATTATCTGCAATAAAAATCCTTGATATAAATGTACTTGCCTAATCTTTGAGATAAATGTATTTTTAATCTGCAATAAAAATCTTTGATATAAATGTATATATATATATATCTCCATGAAAAAATTTTACTGTATGTTATAAAAAGAATCACTAGAAAGAATGTGTGAATCACTACTGTGATATATACACAAGGGAACGAAGCCGTATTCCATGAATGAAAATATCCGAAAACGATCTTCTTTCATTCAAAAATAATGAAAGAATACGGAGCTGAGTTAAAGTTTGATAAAAAAAAATTCGATACCGCGAAATACTGCACGCCGTATATAACAATATACTCCGCAAAATTTTCGATAAAAAGATAACACACGCGATAAAGCAGAAACGTCGAAAAAGAAAGTGAAAAATGTGTTAATTAATGACGGCTGGCATATGGCTATTTATTTATTTACACTGTTGCGTAACGCACGTTAACTCATTCGATTAATTACGTTCTGCCGTTTATCGAAAAATGCATCCGCACAGATGGTCGATGTAATTGTGAATCATATGTGTAAAGCATAAGTTTATTCATTTGTCGGCTACAATATGTAACGCGCAATATAATGCACTGTGTATTATAAATTTTCGCTACAATTATATTTACATTAACGGCGTGTAGTCGAAAAAGCTCGAATAGAGCGTGACATATATGAGTTTTGTAATGGAATTTAGTTGAGTTTATTACACGCAACTCGCGCCGGGCTGTTTCAAAATCAGTGTCTATTAATATTACTGCACATACAGTATCGTGTTGGATTTCAAAACAAATATTTTCGTCCAATGCAACATGTGATTTAACAATTACTCGTCCACTAATAATCCGATCTGCTTATTTGAAAACGGCCATTTATTAAATTTAATTAAACTTATTAATACGAATAATGGAAGATTATTATAAAAGGTAAATTAGTTAATTTCTCATAAATTTATCATAAAGTCCAAATATTTTATAATGTCCGATATGATGAGGAAGAGGAACTATGTGTTACATATTTATGTGCTATATAAAAATCATTTGGTATTTTAACTAACGATTGCCCCTTCATTGTTGTGTGAAGAAACAATTAAAAGAAGGTTTCATTACATTCATAGCCATCTAGCTAGAGCAAGTTAAACTCCATTATTATTCCTGATAAATTGCCAATTCCGTTCGGGCCGCGCCTTTCGAAATTTCATGATTGATACGCCAGACTTCGAGAAAGAGGAAAATAGGTGGAAAAAAAACACAGAGATGTGAGACGAAAACAGATTAGCTAATATCATAACGGAGTTCCTTGCTTTAATACCGCCACGAGATAAATGGTACGATAAGCAGGTTGCAGGTTGAAAGAGGAAAGAACGTAGTTACTTCGGTGATTTATCATAGGAATCTATGGTGTTACGCGATATAATGTAATTTATTAAATATATTAATTAATTACGTTTTGTGTGTGCTCAAATCGCAAGCTTCAATTTCTCCTCTCTCTTTTCTCCACATCGCATCATTGATGAAATAGTAGGTATTCTATATCGAGATAAGTATCTGAATTTATAATGGTGTATATTGACTAATCCTAAATTAGAATCCGTTTATTTAGAGCAATTGAATGTACAATTAGACTAAATATAGCTTAAGAGTTCTCAATTGTCGTAAAATATAAAACAATATTGATTTGGCCTCCATATAGGCCTTTACTTCACTATGTTTGATTTATTCTCGGGAGCTTATTTTTTCATTAAAATATTGATTTGATTTTGTATGTATCTAAATTTAACATTGTTTTAACAAAAGCACCGTCACTCTACATCCAAATCAATTCAAGTTCTTGTCACATTCAATTTAAGGGATTACGCCACCTTTGAGGTTTTAGAACGATGCCTAAAGTTTGGGATTTTTTGTGAGTAAATGGATAACTTTATTTAAAATCTATTTAAAGAAGACATTATTGTACATATATAAGAAACTAAAAAAATATTTTTTTATTTTTCTTATGTCCAAAATGGCGGCGCACTGGCCTACACTTGCAAAATCTCTTTTATTCTATCGGTGTACAGGATT